CAGTCTGTGTTAAGAATCCTAATGAATGTATAAAATAAATTGTTTTACGTATCAGTTTCAGGAAGAGTCATTATATCATAGTAAGAAACATAATTGAACACATAACGAAAATTGTCGACATTTTAAACTGTTATAACAATCTATCTGGTCTCATTTTAAAGTGTGAAGTTTCTTTGATCGTCTTAAGTTTGTTTTTTTCAAACATATTTTTACATCGTGTAGTGAATGGGAAAATAAGAGTACTTTTATTCTTGAATGTTGTAAAAATTCGAACATTCCTAAAAACATTAAAAAATTTTTTTCATGACTTGATCTACTATAATCTTGAAAATTTAAATTTTCTCTTTACAATTCGCTGTGCGATTTTTTTTCACCATCTTATTGAACTTGAAACGTTAAGATTCCTTGAATTTCTGTCATTTAACTTTAATATGCAACATTCAATGAAATGGCAAAAAAAGATCGTATAGTAAGTTTTAATGAATATTTAATGAATGTTTCTTTTCTAGGAAACCTTCAAAACCAGCTGGTGAATTCAGTCATTAAAAAAAATTTTTCACTGTTCTTAAAGACATTTGAATTTTTATAATTTTTAATGGAGAAAGAATATTTTAAAAAGAATATTTTTCTATTTGCTCAAATAATATGTAAAAATACATTTTATTTTTTTATAAAAATTAAAATTTCTATAAACATTCGTAGTTTATTTATAATAGTGATTTAGTCCCATGTTATTAATATTATAACATTATTATATTATTATTATTAATATTATAATATTATATATTATATGACGTAATATTGTAACATTTTTATCTGATTATATGTATTCTGAAGATATTATATATATTTACCAATTTCTGCATTAGGATGAAGCCCGTAAAGAACAGGACTCTCGGCAGGTAAGTAGTTATCAACGTATTGATGATATGCATCATAATCACTATTTGGTGGCACCAAAAAGTCTGGCGCAAGATATAATTCACCTACATGCAAAAAATGCAAATTGTTTTTATTTTAATTGTTTGTATAAAAATTATTGTAATTTATTTCAATCTCATCCTGTCACATAAACTATGAAACTGTCGATAGTGTCGAAAAATGAATAGAAAAATTTCAAATAAAATTTCAACAGACAAACAATTGGATGTAATTTTTTTGAAAATGGATATGTAAAAGATTTTATAAAAATTTTAATTTCTTTAGTTATCTTTACTTAATTGTATGATGCGTAGTGCTGAAACCTGCAGAAAAAGGATATTTTTTTGTATCTCAGTTATTTTTTACTAAAAGTAAAATAATCGTTGTTTTCACTTTATTCCATATTAAAACTGAAATTTATACAGTAACAATTTTTACATCAATAAGTGATACTTCAACTTACAAATACAAAGTTGCTTTATAAAAAGACAATGTTTAAAGACAGACTTAATAAATTGAATTTAATGAATATAATTGTGAATATACTTTTATATTATTTATTATTATTTATATACCTTCAACTAATTCAGGTTTTAAATATTCCGTTAAATATGTCCTGCATAGTCTTCTATCCCAATCATCTGTTATATGACCTCCGTACATTATTTCTCCGAATAAATAACGAAGATCTTCCCAAGGTACTTTGATACTATTTTCCAAATAATTAAATAGTACGGAAACGCTGATAGTCAAATCGCCGAAGTTGAATGGATAGGACTGATTTCAAATGAAATAGTTATTTAAATATATACACAGGATGTATGAAGTTGGGAAAGGAATTGTAAAAAAAACTTTTCCCCAAAACAAAGCTGTTAAATAAATAAACAATACTTTAAATAATATTAAATAAAAACATTTTATATACAATAAGATACAAGAGTCGAGGCATGAAATTATGTCACTTACTCTATTCCATCCTTGCGCCCCAAATTTCCTACGTTCTGCAACTACAGCGTGATAATAACAGAGTGCAAACAATATAGCTTTGAATTCGGTTTCCTTACTGCAGGATTCTAGAGTTTCCTGAGTGAAGTTATCTAACGCTTTGTGAATATTCGCTTGGATTCCTGATGGCGGTTCATTTGTGATCTTTATGGCTGATTCTAGTATACCCTGTGTACATACAGTAATTAATGCGACAATTATATTTAATTTTTATTCTGAACTTCTGAAATGAACACACACACACACACACACACACACAAATTTAAGATTTTTAAGATTTTTGTAAATGTAAAGTAGTGTAACATATGTATATAGTTTAAGATTTTGTAATAATGATATTTTTTAAAAGAATGTTGATTTATCATAATTTAAAGATACTTTTCCAATAGAAAAAAAAAAGATACACAGAGAATATAAAGAAATAAAATTAAAGTAAAACAGTGATAAAAGATATGCAAGATTTTAAATGAAAAATAAATGTTATTGAACTTCACTATAAATAAAATAAAAATATTTGAAGTTTCAAGTGGCGTATTCTATAACAAACTAATTTATTATTATTTTTATACATTCGTTATAGCATTCCTTCATTATAGGAACATACATACATACATAGTCCATTATAGGAAGATACATTTTATCTTTAATATGAAATATATATAATAAAAACATACAAATGTATGTAATTAATTACATTATATTTAAATCAATATAATTAATATTTAATCAATTACTTTTTAATTAATATTTTATTTAAATTATATAATTTAATTAATTATAAATATAATTAACATAATCAATTAATTATTTAACTTTTTAATTATATTCAAATTTTATTCATTGCATCAAATTTCTAAAAAAATTGTAAAGAAGAGAAGAAAGAGGAGATTTGTAGTAACATATTTGTTGATTGTAAGTGTTTTGATTTAATGAGAAAAAATTATAGCATTGTTATAGCATTTGTTTATTATAAAGTTATTTATTGTAATATAAATTGTAAATTTTCATAGGATATATCACTATATAAATATTGTTTAATAGCTTAATGATAACCTTGAAAATATCAAGTATTTTTATGACTCACATATGTAGTATGTATATGTAGTAACCTTAATTGAATTGATGGGAAGATTTCTCATAAAAGTGGTACGTACGATGCAAAACTATGATGTTACATTACTCACAAGAAAGCTGATGAATCATTAAATGTTGTAATTCTTTAATGTTACCTAATTTGATGCTTTACATGTGTACTTGTTAATCGTGATGCATTTAAAGTTTTAGATTTGCTTACAATTAGCCTAAATCAATTTCTTTTGTATTTACTGTTCTAATTTTAAAGCCAAAATAGCAATCTCTTTAGATAGAAATTATTAACAGATTATTTAATTTAATAAAATTCAATAAAGTTAAAAGTTCAAAAATTAAGCAATGTAAAATCTTAATTTTTATGTCTAATGATATCAGTTAGAGGCTAAAAATTAAATACAAGTAGCAATGAGAATATAATTAAAAATTAAATATTTCTGGCATATATGTTAATTAAACTGAAATCACATGATTTTCTGCGGTTACTACCTGAGGTATTATTGACTCGTGAGGATTAGGGCTGGGTTCAGCACTGATGAACAATCGATAATCATCATGTGGATTCTCCGCGCATTGTTCCATTTTTTTTTCTAACGTAGGTAACCATTTTCTGACTAAATGGACATTTTGCAAAATTACCCAGTGACCTCCGTCCGCTGACAGTTCTATAGTTTCTTCGGCCACAGGTTCTTGACCTTGGCCCAGTGACACATTATGGAAATTTCTTCCTTCGAAAGTGAAACCCAACTGCTTTCCCAATTTTTCTACGTCCTGAATTTTAATCGTTGCCATTATTGTTTTATAGTATTTGTATAACTTATTAGATACATTACATTCAATATTTTAAATTAATAATAAATTAATGAATATCAATTTTGACATTTCAATTATAGATTGTAATAAATATGTAATAAGAAGCAACAGAATATGAAAATTTAGAAAGTGGGACAGTATTATAGTTGTATTTCTTTAAATAAAAATAATTAATTGTTTCATATGTTTCTTTTATAGAGAACATATGTTTACAAAAAAATGTTTATATAAAAATGACTCCAATTGAGCAAATGAAAGTGACTTCAAAGATATAGTCATAATAAAATATTAATGTTAATGTAAAGTCTGATTTCAAACATTTTTTTGAATAATGAATAGTTGCGATGATA